GGCAATGGGATATCAAGTTTACAGTTTGAATCAGGTGATCTCCCCTTGCTATGCCACTGTAAAACATCAAACACAAACCATAAATAAAAATATATACTGAAGAATTCAACTACCACCCGACTGGTTACAGGAGAAGCAGGAAACTGTCTTCTTTTTAGTAACACATGTGTGGTCGGTCGCATTTCATTAATATGTCGGGAGAAGGTTAAGCTCCATTCAGTGTTTGTCTGACTTTATAAGAGCAAAAGTATTTCATTTTACTTGATAGATATAGCAAGAGTATATACTCCATAGTACACAGCAACATGCAATAATACCAAATAACACACATAGCAAGAAATAACCCAGTAAAAAAAAAATCCCCTAAACAAAAAGACAGTCCTACCTAGTAATGGTTGTTTGGCCTTCTTTTTGCCCTTTTTCTGGTCCTTGGGGCTCTTCTGCGCTTTTGGTGCCATGGTTCTGATGTAGGCTACATTGAGAGATAGCATTATTAAGTACTGGCTTATACTTTCAGGTATGAAGCATTCTTATTTAGTGAACGTAATATTTTCTAGGCTTAGGGCCTAGACTAAATCAGCAATGAATTTTCAGTAGGAACTCAGGGTTAGCTGTGTACTGTGTCTAAAGGTTTTAGTGCAACAGCCATGTGATTGATAAGACCCCGTTCCTATGGAGCCGTCCCTGCTGCCCTGGGGTCTTATTCTCTGTGGTTGCTCGATGCTGTCTTGGTCTTTGTCTCCTCACAGGTGTCTCAGCTACACAGATGAGCTTTAAGCCATGGGGTGAGTCAGGTCCGCAGCACACACATCTGTGCATAGTTTGTAAATGAATATAACTTAAGTCATACTCCTGTCTTACATGTAACCGTTAAGGTCTTATTTGTGCCGCCTCAGGGTGCTTTGACAGGATATGGCACTGAGCAAGGTCATTCCATGGCATCAAATCCCTGTCAAGATGCCCACCATAGACTCATCCTGTTAGATGGTTAAGAGTGTGATTTCAGAGTCAGGTATAGTGGCCATCCTATGATTGGAGCTCTTGGGGGTGGAAGCAGGAGGATTGTCTTGCACTGCAGCCAGCCTGGGCTACAGAATAAGATGTGGTTTCAGGAGTTTGTGCACCGGGATTTACGAACAGTCTTACTTTTTAGCTGAATGGTCCTGGCAAGCTGCGGACCGTCTTAGTCTCTATGTATTTCTTTGTTTCCCGGGGAAAATGGAATCCATTCAGAAGGCGGTTTTGAGGACTCAATAAAAGTAATAAAAATCAAATCATTATTCAGCTTGTCACCTCAGAGAGGTTTGTCTTATTTTATGAAATCAACATCAGATTGAGCATTATCTTGTAGCTGATGTCTAAGACACCATCAGCTTCTGTTGTTCTTTACCTAATCCCCTCATTACAGAATCGTGACCAAAGTGTGGGTGCCCGAGTGTTTGCATGCATTGCAAACATTATCATTATTGTGTATGTGTATATATGGATGCAGAGGAGGAAGGAGGGTGGCATATGTACCACTGTGCTTGTGTGACAAAGGACAACTCTGTGGAGTCACCTTTATGTGGATTCTGGGATTGAATTTAGGCCATCAGATTTGCATAGAAAGCATTTTTCATGTTGAGCCTTGAAAATCCAATGTGTGTATTATTATTATCATTAACTCTTTTTTTTTGAGACAGGGTTTCTCTGTAGCTTTGGAGCCTGTCCTGGAACTAGCTCTTGTAGACCATGCTGGCCTCATACTCACAGAGATCCACCTGCCTCTGACTCCCCGGTGCTGGGATTAAAGGCGTGCGCCACCACTGCCCAGCCAGTTTGAAGCATTTTATGTGCCTTTTAAATTAAATGAAATTTTTTTTGAGACAGGATTTCCCTATTTGCCTACTCACACTGGCTTTGAGTTTAAGACACTTCTGCCTCAGCTTTTCTGCGACCTTAGTTATGTGTTATTATTACTGTCATTTTTCATCCTTTTATGAAGGATGAAGGGGTCAGGTCACTGACGAGGGGACACAGAAAGGGTGAGCACACTCTCAGTCTCCACACCACAACATCCCTCGGATTGCTGTATTTCATTACAAATATATCTTATCTTGTAAGAACAAGACAGTATCTTCTCTCTGTTCCCAGCATTCTTAAATCGCTGTTCACTGCTCTCTCGTAGCTGTTTTGTCTCTGGATTGGGCTGGAAGCCCTTTGAAAGTAGTGAAAAAAGTCTTTGCTTATTTCGTAGACTTCACGGTGCCTAGCACATTGAGGGAGGTTTCTGAACGCCCTTGAAATGGTAATGAGATATTTAGTTTACCCTTGCCCATTCTGAACCGCCTTACCTGGATCACTAAAGGCAAAAGAAGATAGATAGCCTCTTGGTAGTCAGTACCCGGGAGAAAAGCTTCTCTAAGGGTTGGAGACGGGGGCTTGACGCTTCTCGCTCCGGAAAAATAAATCTCCAATCTCCAGCAACAGCAGCTTGCGGGTGTTGCTAGGACGCGTCCGTTGCTAAGATGGAGATTGACAAAACCCCCGACACCAATACGGTATCGGGCCCCCAACCGTTTTTGTCAAAGCAGGCTTGTAATTGGTTGTCATGTTGTGACGTCACCTAACGTAACCCCAGAAAAGCCGGCTGTTTTCCGCCAGCCAGGAAAGCGCCAGCGATTTCGGTCTTTTTGTGGCAGTGCTTCCGATTGTTACTAAATCTTACCATTTTCTCCTCCCTGAATGTGTGTCTGAAGATACATCTCCTCTAAGATGCTTTTGCCTTTTCCTTATTTCGGATGGCCTCATCTGTCACCTCGCTGGTAACAGCAGTGCCGGACACGACTCATCTTTTTCCCTCTAGTTTATCTTCTAAGCTGCCACGTAGTGTTCGGAACCAGGGGCCCAAGGCTGGCAGCACTTTTTGCACAGCCCCATGTGGTGTACAAAAAGTTGTACAAAATTCTGAGCATGACTTGAAAGATGCCTGGCGGGTGCCAGATACCGTCTTACCCCATTTCCAGCATCTCACAGTGCAACCCAGCACTTTTGATCCACCTCTCCCAGGGACATGAAGACTAGGGGGTAAAGGCTAGGCCGTGGACTGAAGGGAGGCGCACTCGCCATGTAAGTGTGAGGACCCACGTTCAGGTCCGAGACCCCCGCGGGTGCATCCCAGTGCTGGTATGGGTAGATGAGACCTAATGACAGGCGACTCGAAGCTGTCCAGTCTCCAAGTGGGCACTGGGTAGATGATTCACACAGAGATTAACGTTTTTGAGAATTTGACATTCTGCTTCACAATGTATCATATTTGTGTCAATTTAAAAATGTGTAAAGTCACCATTGACTAAAATAGAGACATAATTGAATGAAAAAAAAAAAAAAAACCCACACCAGGCAGCTATGACATGCTCGTCCCTTGATGTTAAGTAGCTCTGCCATCCTGGTTCAGGCGATAGCGTGTCCCCGTGGCTCCTCCGTGGAAGCCTTTTCCTCAGGACACGGTGGCATTGCTTCTATTCCTGTCTCAGCCTGAGTCTCTTTCTCCATCTTCACTGCTTTGTGAGGTCCTTCACCTTTCAGATTCAGCTCAGATGCCATCTCCTCTGCAAAGCCACACAGCACAGAGAGAATCAGTCACTCTTTCCTGTTCTTCCGTTTGAGCATCACAAAATGCAGCTAAGGCACTTCTTGACGTTAAGGCTGGGGTAATATCTCTTTCTTTGAAGTGGATGTAATACCCAGCACAGCTTCTGATGCACTCATGTCTTAATTATGTACACATTCATGCAGTATATGTAAATATATGATTGCTTATTCTAGAAAATAAATGCAGGAGATATTAGCAAAGGCTTTTCAAAAAATTTCTTAAAATGGTTTATTTTCCTTTAAGAAAATTTTCCCACAATCCAATAACTGGATTTGAAGAGGATTGTAACCTTGTGATTTGACTGAGACACGGGTCCTGCTGTCGTCTTTGCTTTGGACACACCCCAGTGAATGAGTCAAGAGTCACAATACCAAGAAAGTAAAAGAGAAAAGGGAAGTGAGTAGTGATTTCTTCACGCTGCAGATCCATGAAGAACATAATCCGTTCTTCAGTGGGAGTGGCCAGAAGAGAGGGCTGGGGTGACTAGTGAGCACCTGTGTACTCTCAGGGGACGTGGATTAAACTTGCCACAAACTCGAAGATATTCAAAATTCGTTTTTGTTTCATCAGTTAAGTTAGTGAGTGAAGAAGTTACATCAGAAAATAAGGACGCTTAGAGAAATTTCAAAGTGAGTTTGCCGTAGGAAATCTGACACGTTAGAGCTAAGATAGTTTTTTTTTTTTTTCTGTTTTTTTGAAGAGCTCAGAATGGAGGCTGTGAATAGCATCCTTGTACGGTCACTTGCTTCAGGCCTTAGGAGAGAGGACAGGTGAGAAGGAAAGGGGTCTCCGTGTTTGAACTCTGCCCTTGTGGGATCACTTCTAAGTTCTTGGGGAGCTGTCTTACTTAGTCTATGGCAGAGGGAACAGAAGAACATCCTCAATGAACTCTCAGCTTCAAAAATGAGAAAATCAGATGCAGACACCTGTCCTGGGGGCAAGGCTTAAAAATCAACCTTATCTCTAACTTGTCAGATTTTGTGCAGCAAATTTAATATCCATTGATGGAAAGTACCAATTCTAATGTGGTGTGTGTATATATAAACACCCATGTATGCAAGTTCCTGTGCCGGTGTGTATGTATATGTATGTGTGTGTGTGTGTGTGTGTGTGTGTGGTGTATTGTGTGGTGTATGTGTGTGAGTGTGTGGTGTATGTGTGTATATGTGTGTGTGGTTTGTGTGGGGGTGTGTGTATGTGTGTGGTGTATGTGTCTGTATGTGATGTATGTGTCTGTGTGTATGGTGTATGTGTGTGGTGTATGTGTGTGTGTCTGTGTGTGGTGTATGTGTATGTGTCTGTGTGTATGTGTATGTGTCTGTGTGTGGTGTATGTGTGTGTGCATGCACATGCGTAGAGGCAGAGGGCAACCTTGGATCTTGTTCCTCACTAGCCATCCATCTAGATGTTTGAGACAGGCTCTCGCACTGGCCCAAAGCTCATCAAGTAGGCTAGACTGGCTGGCCATAAGGCCCTACGACTCCATCCGTCTTTGCCTCGCCAGCACCAGGATTACAAGCACACACTACATGCCTGGCCTTTTTAGGTAGATCCTGGGAGTCAACCTCAGGACTTCATGTTTGTACAGTAAACACTATATTGACAGAGCTATCTCCTCGTCCTATTGTGGCAATTATAAAAAAGGCAAGTCTAAAAAAGACTTGGGTGAGAAATACACTAAAGCAAATAAAGGAAAGGATAATTCCCATCGTCACTTCTGCAGGGTAGTTGAGTCCAGATGGGACTGGAATGACTCAGGCCCCCTCTGTCCCCACACTTGATCGGTGCTGTATAGAGAGCAGGTGTCTCCAGAGAAGCTGGGGCAGCAGCTTGGGAGGAAGCCAAGAACCTCGCAAGGAAGCAGAGTACACCGTTGCTGGATGAGTCTTCACGCTCTCTACACGGAAACAGCTGTCAGGGGAGAGCCATGACCTGCTTGCTGGTGGTGGACCTTTGGTGTGAACAGGCATCGAGCCCACTGCATGCTGGTGAGGGACCTTTGGTGTGAGCAGGCATTGAGTTTTGGTGAACAAACCCCAGATATGTTTATTTTTTTTTTTAATCCTTAGGGCACTTTGAATGTTTTTGAAGTGATAGTACTGCATTTAAAGCAAGAAAATTGTATCTAAGCCTAAATTTGTTTTTGTCTTCACAAACTAAACTTCCCAAACGTCACTTTGGGGTGACAGTGCTTCCTTAGAGTAAGGCAGAAGAAGGTGGGGCAAAGCCAGGAAGGCTCCTCAGCTAGTCCTGGTTTCCACAAAGAACTTTCTATTAGAGCAGGAAAGGGGAGAAGAAGGAGAGAGAGTCAGAGAAGAGGATGAGTCAACTGTCTCAGCCAAGTAGACAGCTTCAGAGTTAAAATAAGATCTGTGTTCAATAATGCTGCCATGTGAAGCATGCATGACATGTGAAGGCACAAGTCATGTGACTCAATCAAATGATGATTCTCCCATCCCTCAGGCTAGCCAATCAAATGATTCTCCCATCCCTCAGGCTAGCCAATCAAATGATGATTCTCCCATTCCCTCAGGCTATTCACTGTTCCTTTCATTGGAGAGATTAGGCAGGAAGGGAAGTGGAGAGGAAAAGAGAGGAAATGATTCCTTATAAGTAAGTTGGGAAGAGACACAAAAGGGAATTTGGGCCCCACTGAACTGACCCCCAAAGCCAGACTTTTTTCATTCGCTACTAGACAGTGCTCACCTGCAGTAGGGTTGAGGGAGGGTCATCTCTCATTTCTGCAAACCCATCCAAAATTCAGATCGTGTCTGAACAATTATGCATTTCAAATTCTTCCTGCAATGATAACCTCAGCTACAGCATGGAAGAAGACAGCGTTAAGCTGCGCAGAGACAATGGGCACTAGAGATTAAATTATACTTCTAAATTGCACCTGAGAATAGAGTGTGCCAATTAGATGCTCTCAGCATCTAGCTCGTCAATCCCATCTGGGATTCGGGTTAATCAGCAGCATAAACCTTTTACACTCCATTGCAAAACAAAACTAGAAACACTCCCCCACCCAAAAAGACACAAGAAAAGATAGTTTCATTTATAAATTGTCTGTGCAAACTGATCTAGCATTTGAAAAAAAAAGTTTCCAGAATGATCCGTCTGTTCTGGATATAGTTGGTGGGATACCCCATTAGGACGATCTACTTATTTTACAACTTCAAAAAGCATTTATTATTTCTTTTCCAAGGGAGAGCATGCACACGGTCCCCAACTACTGCAAATTATGCAGTTAGTTTCTCACATTTGGGGAAACTGCAGGGCTCAGCGCATCCAGAGTGCAACGGAGAAGCCTCAGCCCTGGGAAAACCACCTTTGTGATCATGGTATCTCCCCTGCCAGGTAGGTATTCATGCCCCAAGATAATAAAAATAAAACAATAAATTAATACAAATCTCAAGCGATTGTAATTAAAGTTAGCTAAAGTTCCTGCTAGTCTTGATAAGTGGTAGAACCACTGTTAAATGTTTCACAGGAATTCGTGAAGAAAAGGTTACAGTTTAAAGACTGCTCCCAAGCATTTGCTTTAAGGTTTATTTTTATTTTACGTGGATAAGTGTTTTGATTGCGTGCATGCACGTGCACCCCAAGTGTCTACCTGGTGTCCCCAGAGGCCAGAAGAAGGCACCTGGTATCCTGGACCTGGAGGTACAAATGGTTGTGAGCCGCATTGCCGGGAACCAGACTTGGGACCTCTGCTAGAGCAGCAAGAGCTCCTAATGACGGAGTCATTCCCCCAGTCTGGCACTTTTAAGAAATTCATGTGTGGTGGCGGGAGAGATGGCTCAGCAGTTGAGAACACTGACTGCCCCTCCAGAGGACCAGCACCCACCTGGCAGCTCACAACCGTCCGTAACTCCAAGAGCTGACTCCCTCACACAGACATGCATGCGGGCAAATCACCAACGTCCATAAACATTAAAGGAGAAAATGCATGCATGAGCGTGTGCCAGTTTGTGTAAAGATGCACCTATGTGTTGCCATACTGGCGCACACGCATGCCTCTGAGAACCAGAGGACTGCCATGGTGTGGCATACTCAAGAATCCAGTGAGACAAGGTCTCTCATTGGCCCATAGCTCACCAATTAGACTAGACAGGCTGGCCAATGAACTCAGGGATCCTTCTGCCTCTGACCTCCCCCAGGACTGAGATTGTGGGTGCCATACGGATTTGGGGGATAGATTCAGTTTCTTAAGAGTGCAAGGCAGATGGTTTTTCCTAACTAAACCACCCTCCAGCCTTGTAACGGTGCCTGACATATTTGTATTCACATTGCACCCCGGGGCTTCCCAGGGCTTTTTCTGCACCTGCGCTCTAGGGAGAATCAACAGCCCTTCATTTCCCATCTTTTGACTGATGATTCAAGGCTCCGGATGGATGCCTTAAATTTTCCGAGTTCACATTGTCTGCAAAGATGAGCCTAGCCGGCCCGGGAGCCAGGTGAACGTCACTGTAGCTGAGCCTCAGTGTGTTTCCCATACCACCTTGACAGCTCCATGCCTAACCTGTTGGAACGGTCCCCTAGTTGGAATGGTCCCCTAGTGATCCACCTCACCAGTCACTTTCCAGCTTACAGGGAAAGGGAATGGTGGGAGCGCAGGGAATAAGCCTCTGGAGGTGTGCGAGAGAGGACAGCATCATAACCACAATCCTTCAGACGGCCTCCTCTCCCCACCTGTCTCAGAGAAAGGCCGCCCCACAAAGGGCGTGGCAGGGAACCCGAGCCCAGGGGAGGAGGGTCACAAGGCTGGAGCCCCTAGGAGGGAGGGTGGCTGCAGCCTGTCGGGCTCCGAACTGAGGGTGACTCTGCGCTGATCAGTCAGATCTTTCGGCGGCTACCAGGACCTGTCTCCTCCCCTCGAGTCTGCGCTGTCCCCTCCGGTGCCGGTGCCGGTGCCCCCTCGGCGAGCCTTGGCCGCAGGTGAGCCTAGCCCAGCGCCGCCCCAGGGCATCAGGTGTCGTAAGAAACTCGCTTGCGGCACTCCGGGAGGGAGCCCGATGTCTCCAGTCGGAGGTGACACAAAGCGGGAGGGTAGGGTCCCAGGACACCTGTGCCAGCCATGGAGGGCACACAGAGGGGAGCTGAGTGCGAGATGCACCAGTTTGTCACAAACGGGGCTCCAGCACGCACCACAGGTCAGTGGGGCTCATGGCTGGGGTGGGAACACCCACCCTCTCTGTGCCACCTCGGCAAGGTTTGGAGGTGACAGCAGAGTCCTGCCTGTGGATACCAGTCATGTTTCCTAGGAAGCAAGCGGCGAGAATCCAGTGCAGGATGCCACCTTAGCCCAGAGTGTTCCTGCTCTCTGGGAGGCCGGTGTCCGCTGGAGGTCAACTGGACTCCCACCAGAATCTCAGGGACCACTCCTGGAGTGGCTTCCCGTCTGCCCTTAACTTGGGCCCTTCCTTTCTAAAGGCTGTATCCAGAGGTAGAAATGGGGGCAAGAGCAGGGGTTCTGAGCTAGTTGTACTCCAGCAGGTTGCAGAAATCCGAGTATCTCAGGGTGTGGTATCAGGATGGCAGCAGGCCAGACTTTGCTTTCTCGCAAGGCCCCGGTACCACAGAGGCATGGAAGAAGAAAGAGGAAGGAGGGACGGTGGAAAGAGTAGAACTGTTCTCGTTTTGCAGAAGCAAAAACCAAGGCTCGGTGTGGACCCAGTGAGTGGCCTGAAGTCATAGACTTGTATTGTAGAACCAGAGAGGGAGGGAGGAAAGGAGGGGTCTGGTGAGATCCTGCGCTGCTGAGGAAGCAGCCTGTGGCAGTTGGTGGTGCTTTCTCCAATTGCACCTTCCCTCTGTATAGCTACATTTCTGCCACTCAACCCAATTCAACCTCTGGCTGCTGTGACAAGGAGGTCTGTGAGTCAGGCTAGGCCAGTGCCCTGGCACCTGAATGGACGTCTGCTGTTGTCCCCCCCCCCCCCCAGCAGGCCTTGACACCAGACAAAGAGTGGCTGTCAATACCTGGTCAGTCAGTGTGGTTCCCCGTGGGTTTTTAAGTTTAACAGTCCGTGGGAATGAAAGCTGGGCTCCTGGAACAACTTGAGCAGCGTTTTGAATAAATTAGTGGTGGTTGGCTGTTTTCTCATTGTTCCTGTAGGTTACTGTTACGTGGCGCACGGCTGGTGTGTTTAAAGTTTCATTTTCTCTGTATCACAGTGGAAAAGGGTTTGGTGACAAAACACTTTAGTAGCCACAAACTCATCACTGTAGCTATTCATGTGTGCTAATGAACAGGAATGGTTTGCGTCTCTCTTAGCCAGGGTTTCTATTGCTGTGATAAACACCATGACCACAGTAACTCAGGGAGGAAAGCGTTCGGTTCAGTTTATAACTCTCAGGTCACAGCGCATAACTGTGGGAAGTTGGGGCAGGGGCACGGGACCTGTCAGGGCCGGAACTAAAGCAGCAGCCGTGGAGAAATGCTGCCTAGTGATTGTCCCTTAGGGTTTGCTCAGCCTTCTTTTTTCTTTCTTTCTTTCTTTCTTTCTTTCTTTCTTTCTTTCTTTCTTTCTTTCTTCTTTCTTTAGTTCTTTTTTCCTTTTTCCTCTGTCTTTCCTTTTTTCTTTCCTTTTTCTCTTTTTCTCCTTCCTTTCATTTATTCTTTGTGTTTTTCACACCATGCATCTCCATCCCATTCATCTCCCCATCCCTTTGTATCCACTCTCTGTCCTTACAACCTTCCCTAAACCCAAAATAAAATAAAATAAAATTTAAGAGAGAGAGAAGTGAAAAAAAATCAACTTGTCTCACATGAACAACGTGTGGGCTCTCTCCCCAGATGGCAAAAACAAGCAAATGCTGTCTAAATCGTTCCACTGTTTTGAAAATTTGTCTCGCCACGCTTTTTTCCTCTCTTTTATATCTTTGTCCAAGCGTTATTACACACACTCATGCTTTGAGGTGTCTTGTGACACCGGAGCAAACCACACTTGAGGCGAGCCATTTCTTTGGGAGGAACTGACTGCGCTTGTTACATGAGAATATGTTTTATGCATTACTTTCTTCACTCGGCAGTGGCCTCATTACTTTTCATTAATCAGGAGTTTAAGATGCTCCTCATGACTGGTTTTTATAGCCCAAATATGCATTTTAGGAATCTTGGGTTTGCTGAGAATGTTGTAATCTACATGCAGCGTGTGATTCTAGACTTGGAAAGCAGTGGGTATGACTTATCAGATGTATAAATGTAGGCAAAAGTCTTCCCCCTTCGTTGTTGAGTGCAAGTTGTTAGGAAAACATTAAAAAGACGGGCTTTCTGTTTCATGTGGAAGGACTCTGCTCTCTCGGTGAGAGGTGGGTATTTTATTCAAATGGGTTTTCATAGTATTAGTACTAGTCTGAGGGGAAATCCCAGGTAACTCCCACGCTCTGGAGAGACCCCTTCCTCAGTCTGAAAAAGCTTCTTTACCCCTTTCAAAGAGGCTAAAGAAATAGTATGCACACATGCTTCAAAGGGTAAGCAAGGTCAGTATTGGGTCATTCTGGAATTGGGTCACAGTTGAGGGCTGCCTTCCCTTGGGTAGCTGAGCTCCGTTCTGGGGGCTCACACAGTCCCTACAAGTCTCGCGGTGTTAGAGAGCCTCCCCGAGGAGTGGGGCAGAGAGCAGGTGAGGCTGCCTGCTCACATTCTGTGTTAAGGCTTTATTTGCACTTCATTTAATGTTTGCTACAATCGTCCAAGGATAGAGATTATCATTTTGTAGGATTGAGGCTCAATGTGGGCTGAGTGAGTTGATGCAAATCATAGAAATATCAAGGCCCAAACTGGTTCTTGGTTCTTACAAAACCTATTTATCGATGAATTATTGTATGGGAGTTTTTGTTTATCCCCAGAGAGGAAAATGAATGACTATATCCACACGAAACTATGCACATCATTTCAGGGTCCATTTGCTCTCTGGAGTTCTTACTCCACTTCTCAGGCCCTGATCTTTGCAATGGCTGTATCTTGTACCCAATGAGCCAGAAAGCACACACATACCATATACAACCACACATGTAAACATCTAATCTTTTACATCACATTAAACGTGGAATCTCCTACAATCTAGTAGGAGCAGCCCTTAAATACACTAACTTTCAACAAGGTGAGAATTCGCGTAAGTATTGAAACCACTTAGAAACTGGTATCCCCTGTGCTAATGGGTGTTCAGCTAAGATCGTGTGGGGATACAGGATAACTCTACGGACACTGGGCAGCCATGCCAGCTTTCTTGGACATACTAACTAAAGTAGTTTTGAGTCTGAGAAGGCACAGCTCTACCACGGTCACCAGCAGCGGGCTTGGGCCATCTCTCAGGTACTTCCATTCGGGGGGGGGGGGGGGGAAACTGGATCCTTGGCTATGACAGGGATAAAAAAAATTTCAGGGCTAGTTAACATGAAGCCGGGTGGGAGTTTATCGATGACATTTTGATACATTGTAAAGCATGAGGGTGAAAAGAGAGGGGTGGTCCAGGAGGAAGAGTAAGGCCTCCTCATGCATGGGCACAGGCTTCCCAAGAGAGGATCACAAGCCTCCTTGTGTTAGCCCCATCTACTGTTTTGATGGTTTTCAAGCCACATCTCCAAGCGTTGCTGGGAAACAGCCTTTATTTCTCACTTTTTGATAAGTAGGGTGACAGGTGGCTCCAGGGAGATCTTGGATGGAATTGTTATCTAATAAAGTAAAGCAAGAGCCACTAAGGCTGTGCAAGGGGTTATGATGATACGTCCCTATTAAGGGGGTTTCCTAGTGAGAGTTCCAGAAAACTGCAGGTTTAGAGTTCGGAAGGGAGGGAGGCCTTAAGCAAATGTGAATTGTGCTAGAACATTTGATTCTCAGCTGGCCAGAGGCATGAACCAGGCGTTCACCCCATTCCTTTCTCGTGTCCCCCACTTTCCCGGTTTTCTATTCTGCCTCACTGAAGGTGATCTTTGGACACTGTGTCTTTCCCCACTGAGTGGGCTTGTTTGGTTCCCTCCCTAGCGATGGCAAACCCCGAGGTGGCGGGAAGCGGCTGTGGCTCTCACCAGGATGACAGTCCCTGCACCATTCACCAGAGCTCATCCCCCAGCGAGCTGCTTCTCTTAGAAGACCAGATGAGGCGCAAACTCAAATTCTTCTTTATGAATCCCTGTGAGAAGTTCTGGGCTCGGGGTAGGAAGCCTTGGAAACTCGCCATACAAATTCTGAAAATTGCAATGGTGACTGTCCAGGTAAGCGACTCCCAAGACAAGTGTGGTGCAGGCAGAGAAGGAGGGCCTGGCTTATGCTGCAACTTTTAACCACAGGCATAAGGGACGTGAGAAAATAAGGAAAGATACACCTGTATTAGCAAGGGGTTTCTCCTGCCATGGAGAGACACCATGACAATAGCAACTCTTTTTTTTTTTTTTTTTTTTTTTTGGTTTTTCAAATCAGGGTTTCTCTGTAGCTTTGGAGCCTGTCCTGGAACTAGCTCTGTAGACCAGGCTGACCTCAAACTCACAGAATCCACCTGCCTCTGCCTCCCAAGTGCTGGGATTAAAGGCGTGCGCCACCACTGCCCGGCTGACAACAGCAATTCTTATAAAGGAGAACATTTAATTGGAACTGACTTACAGTTTCTGAGGTTTAGTCCATTGCCAAAATGGCGGGGAGACATGGTGACATGCAGACAGACGTGGTGCTGGAGAAGGAATGAGAGTCCTACATCTTGATCCACAGGCAGCAAAAGGAGACTGTGTGCTACACAGAGCTTAGCTTGAGCATGAGCCCTCAAAGCCTGCCCCCACAGTGACACTCTTCTTCCAACAAAGCCACACCTTCCAATAGTGCCACTCCCTATGGGCCAAGTATTCGAACACGTGAGTTTGTGGGGGCCATACCTATCCAAACCACCACAACAGCTGTGAACTTTTTTCTCTTTAACATTTGTGAAAGACTTCGGCTTTTTGTTTCTTTAAAAAAAAAAAAAAGAAAGAAAAAAAAAAAGACAGGCTCTCACTATTTAGCTCTTATTAGCCTGTGACTCCCTGAGTAGACCAGACTGGCCTTGAACTCACAGACAGCCACATAACTCTGCCTCCCCAGTGCTGCTATTCAAGGCGTGCATCAAGACATCCAGATCATTTTTATTTTTCAGTATTGTAATTTTACCACCATCATAGTTTTCAGGAATAAACAATTTTAACATCTGGATCCTAATGAAGACATTTCTTGAGAGATACCTGAATCTTCCACAGATTCTAGCTGACTCTTAACATGAAATTTTTCTTTTATTCCTAATATTCTGGGCATTCCTTTCTCCAGAAACCGTGTGGATTTTTGCTTTAGTCAATCTCTGGGATTCCTACAGGCCTGGATAACAAGAACTGTGCAGTGGAAGAACATGGGGTAGGCAGAAGGGATCCTGCAGGGCCTATAGAATACATGCTTTCATTTTTGTGAGAAGGGAAAAAAAGGCAATCTCTTTCCTATAACTTCTTTAAATTTTTTTTTTTGAGGAAACAAGTTTTGTGATAGTTGCATGGTTTGTTATAAGAATGGACTTTGGGTGCTGGCAAGATGGCTCCGCTGGTCAGCCTGGCAGCCTGAGTCTGATTGATTCCTAGACCCCACATGGCAGAAGATGAGAACTGGCTCCTGTCATTGCCCTCTGACCTCCATGCATGTGTGCACACAAAAACAAAATAAACAAATGTCAGAAAATGGGATTTCCTGCTGGTGAGGGGAAGTATCTCTTGTTAAAAGCAGTAGGAATAAAACGAAGGCCAAATTTAGGTTAGTGTTTTTACTTTCTGTTCTTGGTAAACACTTGTTATTGAAGGATTTTTTTTTTTAAATTTTGAGATGGCTAATCTTAATTGCCTATTGAAAACAGGTACTTGTGATTAGTAAGCCATTTTCTAGAACCAGCTGAAGTTGGTGGAATCTTATCTAGATTTCTAACCCTGGGCTTGGGAGAGCACTCTGTCTGAGCGCATCATCTTACATTGTTCTAACCACCACCCTCCTCTTGGGGAAATCCCAGCCTCTCTCACCTCACAGAGAAGTACTGATGCTTGCAGTGTTTGGATAAATAGCTCATGAGTGGCTTCATGGAGACTCCAGAGGCAGGGGCACTTTCTCCCCAATATATCACCATGAAAACACGCTCAGTTCTCAGTATAATAATTGGCAACTTGCACCTGAAATTTTATTCCCAAGTGATAAAAGCAACATGTTACAACACTGAAAAGCTTATTTGTGTCATCTTTATGGGGAGTTCCTACCAGTTGATAGGAATGCTATTCTATTTACTTAGGGTAATAATGGGTACATTTGGGTGGCTGCTGTGTGCCAAACTCAGTGTTTTATATACATGCTCATGCTCAAGTCTTAGGACCCGAGCAGTGCATCCCTGTCTCTCCCACAGTGATGAGGCTTAGTGCAGGCGTGTTCCCCGTGTAACACAGGACTATAGCAGAGGACAGCGATGCACAGCCTTAGGTTTGCACACTCGCAGGCTTACACTCGTAAATACTCCCCCATCGATTTAGAGAATCCCCAGTAGTTTACTAGAGTGGTCAAGGGATGTTAGCCAGTGGTTTAAGCCTTTAGGTAAGAAGCACACAAAGGTGTTTAGGTGTTGAGATGGAGTCTCAATCTATTGCCCAGGCCATAGATAGTTTTGAACTCTCTATGGAGGCTAGACTGGCTTCAAAGTCAGGGAAATCCTGTTACCTTATTTTCCCGAGTGCTGAGAATACAGGCAGGACCCTCCATACCTAGCGTTCATGCTCTTTCTTTCTTCTCTCCCTCCCTCACCTCACTCTCAGAATCTTTTAAAGAAAAACTATATTGAAATTTTATTTATCTATTTATGTGTGTGCATGTGTGTGTGTGCGTGTGTGTGCGTGTGTGTGTTTGTCATATATGCGACAGTGCCCCCAGGAGCCAGAATAGGGTCCTTATAGGAGTGCTGGCACACATGTGACTTTTCTTTGGATCTGGGGAGTCTAACTCAGGTCCTCATACTTGTAAGGAAAGCACTTTCATCCACTAAGCCATCTCCCAGCCCCCAAGCCGTGAGCCTTCTGGACATCCTGCCAAATCCCTTGCACATTCTTGCTAGCCAGGACAGCAACCACATGCCTCCGTTTCTTTCCTGCTCAGACATTTCACCCTCTTGCTGTTTCTTTTTTTCTTCTTTAAGCTGGTTCTGTTTGGACTAAGCAACCAGATGGTAGTAGCGTTCAAGGAAGAGAACACTATAGCCTTCAAACACCTCTTCCTGAAAGGATACATGGATCGAATGGAAGACACATACGCAGTGTACACTCAAAGTGACGTGTATGACCAGGTCCTCTTCGCAGTGAATCAGGTAAATCGATGGTGTGCATTTGCTGTTGGTTTCATTTGTTTTAGGTGTTAGGGGTTGGACTCTGGGCCCTGCACAAGCTAGGCAAGCATTCTAACAACGAGACGCCCAGACCATGTGTGCACTCTTTATTTGGGAGAAAGAACTGACTGGAGAAATACTAACAACAGATTATACAGAAACCCACACCCAAGTACTGGACAGTTCTGCTTAGAGATGACTTAAGAAGTAACTGAAATATAGTTTAAGGTCTGGAGAAATGGCTCAGGGGTTAAGAGCACTTGTTGCTCTTCCAGTGGACTTGAGTTTGCTTCCCGACACCCACACCAGGCATCTCACAACTGCCTGTAATGCCAGATTTAGGGAATTCATTGTCTTTCTGGCCTAGTAGTACCACCTACTCCTACATAGAGCATGCGTGCACATCCACGTACACACACACACACACACACACACCTAAAATTAAATGCATATTTAAAAATTGATTGAAAAATATTGCTGACAAACAATTATACAACTAAAAATTGACAAAAGTTTTCATTTCCAACCATCAGAAAGGTTGCATTTCAGTGACTTAATGAAAAGAATCAGGGCTAGGACTGGACTCGGAGCTTCAATATTTGAAATTACTAACACAACCCTGGCTACAAGTAGTCATTAAGTCTTCAAAGCTTATACTTTTAGAGGCCTAGAACAGATAATGAGGTTTTTAATTTTGAACAACCAAGGCCTTCAAGCTTATGTAAAGTCAGGCTGTTGTGTCACGCCTGATGCTGATCCCATGATGCTGGCTATCTGCCCGACAAAAGGAAACTTGTTTCTCATACTCCAGGGTCAAGTTTTCGTTCTGGGCTGTTCTTGCTATAATTAGTACCTTCTCAAGGTTCAGAGTCACTTCTTGTGACGGGATAATTAAAAATGTGTTTGAGATCAATATATATATTTGTTTTTTGAGATAGGGTTTCTCTGTATAGCGGCCCTAGCTGTCCTGGAACTGGCTTTGTAGACCTGGCCGGCCTTGAGATCTGCCTGCCGGGATGAAAGACGCAGGTCACCACAGTATTTTTAACCTAAGGTCACATTTCAAAATCATCAAATCCCTTCTTCAAACATTGATCCCGAGCAATCATGACTCTTCCTTTCTGGAGATAGCCTGTTCAAACAGTGGTCATGAGCTGCTGGAATGAAACACGTCTCTCTGGGGCCCGGGCTCTTAGCAGCAGGAACATGAAACTTAGAGACTAACGCTGCACAAAGTTGGTAAAGAGAATCATGGCCTACAGTTTTAGAAGGAAAATCGCAAATAACTTAGTGATGAAGGTAAGTTTAGAGAATCAAAATAAATTGTGTGTGTATGTGCATGCAGGACGTGGCATGGCATTTGCGTGAAGGTGAGAGGACAGCCTTGGTTGTCAGTCCTCAGCTCCTACCTTGTTTGAAATCAGAGTCCTCTGTTCATTGTTGCATATACTAAGCTAGCTGCTTGCAAGCTTCTTGGGGAATTTTCTTGTCTGTGTCTCTCACCTCACCATAGGAAAATTGGGATCACAGATGCAAGCTACTGGACCTGGTGTCCCATGGGTTTTGGGGATTTGAACTTAGGTCCTCATGATTTGGTGGCAAGTGCTTTACACACTGAGCCATCTCTCAACGCTGGATTTAACTTTTAAACGTATTAAGTATCTGTGAGCACTGTATCAAGTTTCTTAGGTGTTATGTAGAGACAAGAACTAAACAGTCCATTACATTTTGTTGTTTTGAGGCAGGGCCTTATGCAACCCAAGGTGACTACAAATTCCTTGTAGCAGAGGCTGGCATTGATGTCTTGATCCTTCTGCCTCCACCTCTGAAAAGCAGCCTCTATGCCTGACTAAAGGCCGGGTAAATTCTTTATAAACCATCTTTACCTTCATCACTAGGACTAAACTCAGTCTTCAAAACACTGTGCCTGGCACTGAAGCCACACAGCTTGTTAGGTGTCCATGTTCTTTCCATGAAGAACCCTTATCTTCACTGCCACGTTCTTTCTGCTGCTGGAGGAAACCATCTGTCAGGATAGTGAGCGAAAGCCATTTCCCTCTCACCGTTCTGGAGGCGTGAAAGGCCAAGATCTAGATGTCTACACACTCATCTCTTGTTGGAAGGGACACCGAGAGCCAAAAAGGCCCACATAGTCCCACTGGCCTTGTTATGTTGGAAGTGTTTGATGTAACAGTCCAAATACACCATGTTAAGCCCTGTATCTGCCTGCTTTCTCTTATTCCCCAATCAGTGGTCCCAGTAGCTCTGCATTACTTCCTAATGAATCCACAGAAACCACTGCCCTTGCTGTATAGACCTGCTCCTGCAGCAGAGAGACACATGATCTCTTCGTTTCCATACATATCCAAGCCCCCATCTGTGCTTAATGGCATAGCACTTGATGATCTTACTCCATGAAGACAGAAGTGTCAGAGAGACACAAACATGTTAGGTCCTAGGTTCAAAATCTTTATTGTACATGTTCCAGGGACAGGGAAGGACTGCAAATGAGCAATGGGCAATGGCTTTACTTCCGATGCGTGGTGTTTTAACTTTAACTTCATTTTTTACTTGACCAGTCGTAGAATGACCTGGGATGCTGCATCTAAGTGAGGAAGGAGATTCTGGGTGGGAGTGTAGGGAGAGCCTGTGGTCAGAAGGCAGTTTTGACCCGGAGAATTCCTGGGTAGATGGTACAAAGTATTTGAGTGTTCAAGGCCTCCGTCGGGCTTTCCTTGGACGTGGCTGTCCCTTCTGGTCTTCACTGCTACTCCTTAGAGCCATTCATTCACTCAGATGCAGCATCCCAGTGAGTGTTTCCTGAATGTCTGCACACTGAAGGGAGATGGGAACCCTCCCTCTCAAGACATGGCCAGGAAGGGTTATAGTGGCTCTCCTCTTCCCTGACTGGCACCCCCTTTGCCCTGGGTGTTGTTCCATTCCCATCTCTCTCTTTTTGATGAAGTACTTGCAGCTTCGCAACATCTCTGTTGGCAACCACGCTTACGAGAACAAGGGCACGAAGCAGTCGGCCATGGCAATCTGTCAGCACTTCTACAAGCGAGGGACCATCTGCCCCGGGAATGATACCTTTGACATTGACCCAGAAATTGAAACAGGTGATGATCTCCTATAACCTTCAACTATTTTTTTTTAATTTCCTGATTTACACCTAAGCCCCGTGATGACTGCATCTCTGAAAACAATGACAGTTGGTGCTCTCATGGCTTAGGAAGAACTGTACAACTCTTACGTGCCAGCTTCTGTTGTGAACATTTGTTATATAACTCATGAATTCAAAAGAAATATAAACAGATAACACATAGAGGAAATAGAGACAGGGAGAATGATGACATTCTGAGGCAGAGTTTGGGTCTGTCTAAATCTTTGATCACTCCAGAAATGTCTTAAAAACAGGAATGTCCGGACAAGCGGCATTGATACCGAGCTCCCACAGGGTTGATTAAACAGCAATAGCATGAATAGTTGATCTTAGCCATCATCCTTTGAAAATGCAGTTTTATTTATGGTTTTGTTCCTTTCTGTTGCAGAATGCTTCCTGATAGAGCCAGATGAACCCTTTGACATCGGAACACCTGGAGAAAATAGACTCAACCTGACCCTGGACTTCCACAGGTGAGGAGAGCCAAAGGGCGCATAGCTCAGCCCGTGTTCTCGACTGTCTGCTGGAGGAGCATTCGGATGGGCCTGTGTGTGTCCCATCATCTCATGTCCTCCTTCTGGAGGGGCACACAGCTCGGCCCGTGTCTGCCCCTCATGTCAAGTATCTTCTGCTTTCCAGACTCCTGACGGTGGAGCTTCGGTTTAAGCTGAAAGCCATTAATCTGCAGACAGTTCGCCACCAGGAGCTTCCTGACTGCTACGACTTTACTCTGACTGTAAGTGTGGGCTGTGTTGAATACGGCTCCTGTCTAGAGAAGATCCGTTTTATCTAGGTGTATAGTTCATGTTCATATACTGGTACTAGACATAGGATGCTGTACCTGAACTCCTGGGACATCGCTCCAGCTGGCTCTAGTCTGTATATTGCTAACTTGCTGTTTGTCTTCTGCACCTCGGTGTGTGTTCTGTAAGACAGGGACTTACCTTGTCTCCTACTGTCTCCACTGTGGGGCCTGATATCGATGCCTAAGATTCAGTGAAATCATATTTAACCTTTGCCTGAGAGTGCTAAGTTGGATGTATAACAGAAAAAAAATGGTTCATCTGCATTCAAAAGTCTCATGTGATGTTTTCTGAGATTCTTTATTAGGCATATGAACCTCTGAAGTCCTTGTTGGGTGTGTTTGTGTGTGTGGTGTGTATATGTGTTCACATGTGTGTGGCCCATGGTGTGTGTGTGTATGTATGTAGTGTATGGGCACCTGTATATGTGTGTTCACACATGTGTATTCACACATGCATGTGTGGGTGGATGTGTGTGTGTGTGTGTGTGTGTGTGTGTGTGTGTGTGTGTGTGTGTAGGTTCCCTCACTGAATCCAGAGTTCACCAATTCTGGCTAGTCTGGATAAACCACTTGCCTAGGAGATCTCTTGTCTTAGTTTCTCAAGTATCAGAGGCAGCTGCTTTGTCAATTTGCTTTCACACAGGTTCTGGGGCTCTGAATACCATGCTTGAGTAGCCAGCGCTTCCATCTTCAAATGCTATAACCTTTATTTCTGCCACACTCTTTTAAAATCCTAATCAGCGTCCTTTCTCCTTGGGGACACTCAGCATCTGCTGAGGCTTTACTGAGACACCTCCTGAGTCCCCAAGAGTCCTTGAGGCCCCTTGTGTGGAGAACGAATACTTTCTCATTGGGGAGGACTTTCGACCCCATCAAGACACTGACATCTCCTTGTGTGAGCTGTAGGCTGTGTTCTTCAGCCACTGTGGGGAACACAGCCAATGGCAGTGGCCTCAGTTGCTAGGGGAAGATGCTATCTTGCCACCTTGAGAGAACATAGTGACTTAAAACATCTCATATGAAGTTACTTAAAATCTCATATCTTAGCCATGTATGTTCTGGTCTTCTGATGCAAGCAACTTCAGAGATATATGAGCAATTCTTTCCAAACTATTGTAAATGGGATTTAGTTTTTGCTACAGTGGAAATAGAAGGTTTTACAAATAACCCATTGTGCTATGTTTTGGCTACTTGGGCTATGTCTGCCTTCCATATGTGGAGAAGCTTCAAAAAATTTAATTTAAATGGCAGAACTTTCTGAGAATTTTCAAGGTTCTTTGAGAATTTCACAGGCAAATACAATGTATTTCAATCTTGTTCACCAGCACCGTCCCCTTCTTCTAGACCCTGTTCTACCCTCATCCTTAGTCCAGGTAGTGCCACCTGGATATGAACGGGTGTGAGGCCATTCATTCCCCAGTGCATGGATAACTTACCAGAGGCTACACACCCAAACAGAAATGAGTCTTCCTCTTCCACTAGCCACCAGCTGCCAAGTGCTCCTCAGCTGGGTGTGGAGTCTCATGCATCCTTCCTTCGTCTCTGCTGTAAAGCTGAGCGTCTTGTCTTGTGTAACCACAGCTGCCGTGTGCTCACAAGCGCAGTGGCCTCATAGGTCCAGGAGACACTTTTCACAGCAGTACCCCCATCTTTTGACTTTTACAATCTTTCCGCCCTCCTCTGTGTTGCTCCTCCAGCATGGAGGTGGAGTGAGGCGAGAGAGATGCTCATTTAAGGCCGGGCAATAAATGAAGGACCTTTAACTGCACTTCCTCTTCCTTTGTGGGAAAGGGAAAGAGATGTAGGTAGATTTTTCCACTTTCCTTCCTTTTCTCTGCTTGGCGGAAGCATGGGGATGAGAAGGAGACACGGGAGGAAGACAGAAGGCATTGAGCTGTAGTTTTGTGCTGTCTGTACCCAGCGTTTTCACCTGTTTGTCTCAGAAGCAAGGCAGGCTAGCAGTTCTGTCACTGAGCCCTTGATAATACATGTGATACCATAGTGATGGAGAAATCTAGACCCAGAATGAAAACAAAAAACTCTCCATGTGGGGTGTCTAAATCATGTTAGGACAGACATGATTTCCCCAAACACCAAAAAGCCATCCATTGTTAAGATTCTGTTGGAAGGTGGGCCAGAGCTAACCTGTAGGAACTTCTGCCAACCCAAGAATAGGAAGGAAGGGAAGGCACTCTTGTTTGCTAAGGTATCCAGGGATGGAATGCATCCTTAAAAATGGGGTGTTAGACACTAAAATCTCCCCATAGCATATCAATTTAATATTCTCAACTCACAGAGAAATCAAGGGGTACTCTTCAGGGATTAACAGTTACCATCTGGTCAGAGATGAGGATCAGCATTTCCTGTATCCTTCAATGAACTGCTTCCTGATGAATTCAGAGAGCCATCTTGATTCCAAAACTTAGTCATGCATGCTGGACCCTTTTTCTTGTCTTTACAGATAACATTTGACAACAAGGCTCACAGTGGAAGAATCAAAATAAGTCTAGATAATGACATTTCTATCAGAGAATGCAAAGACTGGCATGTATCCGGATCAAGTAAGTAACGAGCTCGGCTCGTTTGCAGGATGGCAGTTAAATAATTAAGCATTGAATTATTGCCTGCAGGACATAAGGACCAGTAAGTAAAAGACTGAGCTAGTCCTGAGTCCCTCGATATTCTGTAAGCAGATGGGTTTGTTGTAGATGTCCGGTGTTTCAGACAGTACGCAGCACTGAATGGCTCTTTACCGTCTCCACAAGTCCTCGCCTGCCTGCTCCTTATGTAGCTACGTGTTCAGTTCTGCGCTAACAGCCACACATGCCTGTGTCCTCATGCTAGTATTTTTAGATATCTCAATGAGCAGCAGAATCCTTACAATCACAGATGAAGAAACCAAGGCTCAGAACTGTTTTCCATCGGTTGCTAGATGAAGGTTCTATGGTAACATTTAAGATATTCATCAATCTGATTGTAGGGCAAGGCCAGTTGGGGCCCCCTCTCCTCTATTGTTTAGAGTCTTAGCTGAGGTCATCCTTATGGATTCCTGGGAATTTCTCTAGAGCCAGGGTCAGTAGTTTTATAGCAAGAGCTGAGGACGTCTCCAAGTGATACTAAAACAAAACAAAAGGACCCTGATGCAGATTGGGAGGTGCTGGGAGCAGGTGGTGAAGGACTGAATGCCAACTGGGCCACTGGCTGTGTCACCTAGGCAAATTATGTGACCCTTTGTGTTTCAGCTTCTCACTGCAACGTGGGGGAGTCCCCACAGCCTCTCTGGGGCTGTTGTGATGATCTGTGCACACAAAGTGCTCTGAACGGAGTCAGGAGAGAGTGGCTGGGCAGAATCTGTAGTTGCGACTTAACTTCTTTGTCTCACTCCATCTGCATGTTTGTCCACGCACCTGCTTGTTCCTGTGCTTGTCTTGCCGTTGTAGATGTTCCTGATAGGTCAGGGGTCTCATCTGTTTTGTTCATCAATGTCTTCTAGTACCTAGAAAAGTACCAGGTACATAGGAGTGCTTAATGATTATTTTATACCAGGCTAAGTATTTTAACAAGCAATATAGAAAGGCTTATTAATGGATTGATTTTTTTTAAAAGGATTTCACTATATGTAGCTCAGGTTGACCTCAAACTCAGTATATAATCCAAGGTAGCCTAGACCTCCCGGTGACCATTCTGCTTCTTGCTCCCAAGTGCTGGGAATAGAGGGGTCACCACCACACCCAGCCAGGAGCACCCATTCAGCATAAGGACCACAAACTGATATTTAAAGACCTTTGATTTGGAGTGTTATCTTTTTTAAAGGAAGGACCCTCAGCTTTTTAAAAACACTAACGGGAAGATTGTTCACAAGTTATTTTTTTGGTTGTCGGTCTGAAATGCTTGAATTATCTAAATCATTGTAAAAAAAAAGAAGCCAACAGCATCATATTCACGCCTCATCCCTGAACCCCCACGGCCTCTGTCTTCCAGTTCAGAAGAACACCCACTATATGATGATCTTTGATGCCTTTGTCATTCTGACCTGCTTGTCCTCGCTGGTCCTCTGCGCAAGGTCTGTGATTAGGGGTCTTCAGCTTCAGCAGGTAGGGCACTGTTCCCTGAGATGCCGCAGACATACTGGGCCACAGGGATGCTCACACTCTTTCTCATCTTGCCTAAAGGAATTTGTCAGCTTCTTCCTTCTCCACTATAAGAAGGAAGTTTCTGCCTCTGATCAAATGGAGTTCATCAACGGTTGGTACATTATGATTATTGTTAGTGACATACTGACCATCGTTGGATCCATTCTGAAAATGGAAATCCAAGCCAAGGTAAAAACTCTTCTTCCCAATTGTGCAACCCCAATGGTAAATGTACTTTTTCAAGCTATGAAGAGATTCAAAGCCAATGCTTTCCTCTGAGATTTATATTCAGTTAAATCAAAACTGACAATAGCAGTTTTCTAAACATTATTTTAAATTACTTATTTTTATTTCATGTGCATTGGTATTTTGCCTGCATGTCTGTCTGAGGGTGTCAGATCCCCTGGAGCAGGAGGTGCAGATATTTTTGAGTTGTCTTGTTGGTACTGGGATTTAAACCTGGGTCCTCTGGAAGAACAGCCAGTGGTCTTAACCACCGAGTCATCTCTCCAACCCCATCTCTAGAAGTCTCCTAATCAGAGTTTTAAAAATAATAATCCATAAACTAAGAGGTCAGAATCAAAGTGGCCAGAAAATACTCTGTGCTATACCAGGAGAGTTCAGACCCTCCAGGCCACAGACACCAAACGCCATGTCTACACTGAAGAAATTATGCTAAGAGTTAAAAGAAAATGTTGAAGCCAGGTGTGGGGCCTGGGGCAAGTGAGGTCAACACATGACCCTGTGTGTTTTTGCATGATCTCCTCTCAGAAAGATGCTTGCCTTCTTACTTTTCCCATTGTTATTATTCTCCTGAAATAAGGTTAATCTGGTCTAAGATTAATCTTTCTCCCCAAACAACAGCAACAACAAAAATTAAAAATGTTCAAATGAATCTCACTCAACTTTATGCTTTCCTAGACTTGCTGTAACAAACTGCACATCACCTAGGCAGCTGGTTGTAAACCTAGGTAGAGACTCAACACACAGGCTGGGTCAAAGGGCAGCTTGCTCTCTGGGGTGGGGCTCTACCGTGGCCAATCCCTCGGCTCCGTGCAGTCTTCAGGGACCTGAACGCTCCTCATTAGTTCCTCCTCAGAAGTTAAGAGCTCATCCTGACTTCATGAGTGACACAGGGTTGCCTCATGAACTGGCTACAGTCCGTGGGAAGTGAAAACACCAGCTGTTGGCAGCTCTCCGGTGTCACATGTCACGTGGCCTAAGCGGAGGAGTAGCAGATTTCACTCCTGCTCACACCCTCTAGAGTAGACAAACCCACCTGCAAAGGAGCTGGGGAATCAGTAGACCTAAGTTAGAGAATGGTGCTGCTCACCGTAGGCCAACTGTGGCCATGTAAGGCTGTCGTTTGAGCAGTTTAACTTTAGGGAACAACGACCGCAAAAAGATGGTGGGTTTGTAGTAACTATTTATTTCTTTATTATTTACTTTTGAGATAGGATCTCATACAGCTCAGGTTATCTTCAGACTCATCACTTAGCTGAGACTGGGCTTGAACTCTGATCTCCATGCCTCCACCTCCCAAATTCTGGGATTACAGGCACAAATCACCATACAAGGCACAATTCTTTATTTTCACCAACCTCAACTACCATTTCCTTCAGTGAGCTAAGAGTGCCCAACATTTTCTTCATTTTCTGGACTATCTTCTTCTATTCTGAAACCTCTACACATCCTCCCGGCCCCACATCACTTCCTGTTTCAGAACACAAAGAGACACCCCTTCCACAGCCCCCTCACTGTCTCCAGTGTCTGTATATTCTCAGGCTGCTGTCCGAGGCTAGCCCCCTCACTTGCCTCTCAGGGGTCAGCCCCAGGTTCTTAGTGGAGGACATAACTTCAGCTCCGTGTTCTCCTCTCCAACAATTCTTTCTCTCCTGGAACTTTCCCATACTGTTCTTGCTTCTTGTGTAAAATTAAAATCCCAGTTCCTCCACCCTCCTCTTTACCTAGATCTCTGCTCCACTTTATAGAATGAAAGATCTCAAAAATAGTTATTAACCCTCATGATGATTCTGATTCCCCCAGCACCTGTTCTTCTAGAATGTCTCCCTACCCGGCTGCCTCACTTCCCTGTGGAAACTCCTTTCTGCAGATGTCCTGTGGTTCCCCTCAGTAGCTTCTCACAGCTGATCTGGTTTGTGCTGAGGTGCCTTTTAGCTGAATTGACACTTACCCAGGTTTTCTTCAGATCCCCGGCTGGTTTTCAGAGCTTCCCTGGCTGGTTCCCTCTCACTCACCAACCCCCATGTGAGAATGTTTCGAGACATCCTGCTTGGAGAGTTCCTTTCTGCCACTGCCTTGGTGTTATCGTCCTGACCCACACAGATATTTTGCTATTTATTTGCCAGTGTTTGCTAAATCTGCATCTCCTCCCTGGTTGTCTCTGTGTTGCATCCTGAATGTCCACGTGTTGACCACATATCTTCTGACTATCCACAAATCTTCTCAGGTTTAACAGACCCACCTCAGAACTCCCTCAGTCTTCCTCCTCAATTCAAATCCATTTCTCCCATTGACTTTCTGGTGTCCGTTAATGGCAACTCTCTGTGAGTTCACGCCCCAAACAGTAGTACATTCCCCGAAGTTCCTCTCTTGTATGAATCCCCTCTCTCCCGTACCGTATCCCACAGAGATCATATGTGTTCTACCTTTGAAAATGACTCACCGTCTCTTAGACCCAGAACCCTCTCATGCCTCCGGCAGTCTGCTGTCTGTCACAGCCAGCACTTGGTCCTGTCGCTCCTGTTCAAGGCTCTCAAATCTCCCTGACCTTTACTGACAAAACCCATGAGGGTTTATACTACCCACGCCTTACCTCCATCTGTTGCTCACTTCTTGCTAGGTCCCTTGTATTTGCTGCTATGTGTGCCAAAGGCTCTTCTAGGTTTCTGCTTGATTTTCTTCCTTTTCTTTCAGATCTTTGCTTCTGTGTCTCTTATTCACTGAGATTTGTCCTGCTCATCCTCTTTCAAATTGCCAACTCATACACGTTCCTTCTCTCCCTCTCTGGCTGGCCTTCTTCCTCAGCATTTACCATTAGTGAATGTACCGAAGGCTGAATTCGTCTGTCACTGGTTTGTGCTCCACACGTTGCACTAGAGTGTAAACTTCACGAGGGTAAAAAACTGTTTGTCAATTGCTTTATCTTTCATACCTAGAGCAGCTCCTGTTGCATAGCTACTTGACAAGTCTGACCCAATGGACACATTGCTATATAACCAATCTTTTCCATCTGTCTAGAGTCTCACAAGCTATGATGTCTGTAGCATCTTTCTTGGGACTTCGACCATGCTCGTGTGGCTTGGTGTCATCCGATACCTGGGTTTCTTTGCAAAGTACAACGTAAGCAGTCCTACAGAACCCATCAGAATTATTCTACTGCCTTGGCTAAAGGGCAGAGAGATTCTAATGCCCCTCTTACTTCCACAGCTCCTTATTCTGACCCTCCAGGCAGCGCTGCCCAACGTCATCAGGTTCTGCTGCTGTGCCGCTATGATCTACCTAGGCTATTGCTTTTGTGGATGGATCGTGCTGGGCCCTTACCATGACAAGGTACTGATAGTCAACTTCTTCCTGACAGTATTAAGTGCAAATAACAGGCCAATAGCTTCTATTTTTTATGATTACTACTTTTTATTCATTTATATTTTTGTTTGTGTTCAGGTTGGCCTTGAACTCACATGTGTAGCCAAGGACAACCTTGACCTCCTGGTCCTTCTGCCCCTATCTCCCAAGTGCTGGCGTGACAGGTTTGTGCCAACACACTGAATTTGCTGTTTTATCTTTTTGAAAAATATTAATACTTTTATTTATTCTTTGAGAATTTTACACATATACATAGTATGTTTTGATCATTTTGATACCTTACTTCTCCCAATTCCTTCCAGATTCTAACTTCATATCTTTTTTTTTTTTTGGTTTTTCAAGACAAGGCTTCTCTGTGGCTTTGGAGCCTGTCCTGGAACTAGCTCTTGTAGACCAGGCTGGCCTCAAGCTTACAGAGATCCGCCTGCCTCTGCCTCCGGAGTGCTGGCTGGGATTAAAGGCATGCACCAGTACCACCTCTAATCCCAGCACTGCTAATGTCCTCTTTTTTAAATAACCCAATGGGTCCAATTAGTGCAGCCCACATGCACACGGGTGTGCAGCCATCCATAGTAGTATGGTGGTCAGTCTACCAAGGACCCCACACTGAGCCCCCACCCCCAGCTAACACCCATCAACTGCCAACAGAGTTATCCTTCTCAAATGAACTCCTTTGATTACGTAATTCAGCTTTAAACTATGGAAAGTCATATATCTACATCCACATATTAGGTCCAAGAGTGAGGGCGTCAGTAGTTCTAAACCAGTCAAATGTGAGCACCCTGAGAGCGTCATTGATCTTCTCCGTTGCCTGAAATCCCGTTTGGAATACATTAGATAATTATACCAGTGGTTAGTTCATTTGGGTTCACCAATCAATATACATCTAAGCAACTATAGGGAAAAAACACTGTAGGAATATTTGAAAAGTTTGCTGTGAGAATGTCTTGAACGTTAGACATTATCTGGATGAGCTTCCGAATGAGACAAAGGACCATGTGAGTCTGGGACCTGGATGTCTCTGCAGAAGCATTCAAAGTGTTTCAAGGGTTTCTTCTGTGACAGGGAAAGGGTGAGGGAAGGGAAGGGAGGGGAACTTTTATTCTGTTTACAAAAGATTTGCTTTTAAAAACAAACAGTGATTTCCCCCGCCCTTATCCTCACCCCAATAGTTCTATTCTGAAAAGGNAGGGGAGGGGAGGGGAGGGGAGGGGAGGGGAGGGAAGGGAAGGGGAAAGTCTGACTCTGATGAGTCAGCTTTACATGGAAAAAGAAGAGCTGTCCTTCCCTCTCTCTGTCGGGCTGCTGCAGCTCAGAGGAACATCAAAAAAGCCACTTGAGCCCCGACAAAGCAGCAGCCTCAGACATGTCATATGCAGCAAAGCAAATGCTTGTGTCTACCTCGGGGTGGTTGTTGGGAAAGCATCACCTGGGATACCAGGTCTGACCATTTTCAGGATGATGTCATGAACCAAAACCTCCCACATTGAGGGAACATGGAAGACACTAAACTTCTCTTGCCCCCTTCCCCAGTTCCGTTCTCTGAACAGGGTCTCCGAGTGCCTTTTCTCTCTGATAAATGGAGATGATATGTTTTCTACCTTTGCAAAGATGCAGCAGAAAAGCTACCTGGTGTGGCTGTTCAGCCGAATCTACCTCTACTCCTTCATCAGCCTCTTCATATACATGATTCTGAGCCTCTTCATTGCGCTCATCACAGACACGTATGAAACGATTAAGGTGGGTTCGTCAAGAGCCAGGGCATGCTGTTGCAGAGATGTGTAGCGGTGATACATAGCTTAGGGCTAGGAGGAAGGAAGACTGTGCAGAGAGACACAGCTCAATTTTAGCAATCGTGGAATAGAAAAAAAAAAAAAACAAAGGAATATGGAATTTCTAGAATGCTGAATGTCTTGTTTCTCAGTCTTTATGTTAAAAAAAGTTACTTTCTCCTTTTTAAAAAATTCATTGTTAACTGTACTAAGGATCAAACCCAGGGCCTGGCATATGTCAGGCAAACCCTGTGCCATTGAACTGTATGTCTCCAAGCCTTAAGTATGTTTTAGAATCTTTTGTTAGACTAATAATGGTCAGCAGGTATTGGGTATACAAAATACACATTTGAGAAAGGCAAAATTTTGTGAGGTCACCTGTGGAAGAATAGGAACATTCACTGCTCAGCTCCTAGCCAGGCTCTGTTCATCTAGATTGGCTGGTATTCTGTGGCCTGAAACCAGTTCCACCCAAGGAGCTTCCTTCACACTGAGAACCACGGGACTGCAGGGCAGACTGGTGGTGGACACTGTAGCACTTAGGACAAAGCTGGCTGAGTATTTCCCAGGAGAGGGTACAGACAAGGTTCCCAAGCCTCTCCAGGTATGGGAAGAGGCAGGCACAGATGGACTGAAGCTGATTCCCGAGCGGCTGGCTCCGGAGGTGATAGCCCCCAGACATGCCTGGGAGCAACGAAATAGCCTCGAGAAAGATCACTTCCGTTTGTTGCCAAATGCACCATCGTGAGTTTGGAATATAGCTGTGGGAGAGGGCCTTGTTAATGAGGACGTTTCACCTTCTCCCATGCAGCACTACCAGAAAAATGGCTTCCCAGAGACAGAGCTTCGCAAGTTCATAGCAGACTGCAAAGACCTCCCCAGTTCTGGAAAATACAGATTAGAAGGCGACCCTCCAGCATCTTTCTTCTGCTGCTGCAATAAGTAACCATTGGATTTCTCTGGGCTTGCAGAGGAAAATACGGCATGTGGCTGAGCCAGAGACAATATGAACAATTGTGATAACGCAACAGTATGCCCAGATACTAGTATTCTGAGCTCACTCCTGACTGAGACATAGCGAGACCTGTTTCTGTTTTTAAAAATATTTTAGGTCTTTTCTACTTACATTAGCATTAAAAAATAACGGATTTGGCAGGGTGTGGTGGTGCACACCTTTAATCCCAGCACTTGGGGGGCAGAGGCAGGCTGATCTCTGTGAGTTTGAGGCCAGCCTGGTCTATAGAGCTAGTTCCAGGACAGTCAGGGAAACCCTGTCTCAGAACAAAGCAAACAAAACGAAAAACTGATTTGGTGAGGGAGGCTGCTGGACCATTGCTGGTCTTAGCTGCTGTAGCTCTTGCGTGTTCTCCCTGGGACCCTTTGCCTTCCAGTGTGGCTTCTGCGTGCACTGGGCATTTGGATGACCCAGTGTCCCTCTCTGAGACTTGGGATAATTATAATTATTACACATCTGACACCACAGCATCTGAGAGTTTCCCCCTTAAAAGAAGACAGAGCAAGAAAGAGGCCTCCAGCGTAGCCGGTGGTGCAGTGCTTGTCTCCTAGAGACAGCTGTTTGATAATCCTGCCTTTCAGTGTTAAGGCTCAAGGTTGAAGAGAGTCTAAACATGAATGAAAGCTAAAGTGAGTGCCAAAGGGTATTTGATCAAGCAGCGATGGTTTTCCGTAGCAACCAAGCAGTGTGGGGGAAGCTAATGGTATACCATGCCTGCCATAGGTCCAATCCGTCTCCGCAAAGCCGTGTGCGGCCAGGATCTGTGGTGCTATGGACTGCAGTTCTAGAACCCATGCTAAAAAATTTTAAAATGAATATATGTATTTGAAGAGGCACTAAGTTAGGCTCTATACTTTATAGTTTGATGATGGGCAAGTATGGGGATTTTTATGGTATAATACTCATTTTGTGTACTGTTTATCCATGTAGACACTAAGTCAATTGTGTATAACAATGACTTTATAAATAACCTTTAAAAACAATAAAAATTCTTAACATTTTAATATTGAACTGGAGTCATAATGATAATAGCCCAAGACATTGAAATCCTTTTTTTTAAATTTGAGACAGGGTTTTTCTGTGTACCCCTGGCTGTCCTGGAGCTCACTAAGTGGACCAGGCTGGACTTGAACTCACAGAGGTTCACCTGCCTCTGTCTCCCAAGTGTTGGGTTTAAAGGTGTGTGTCACCACCGCCTGGTAACACTGACATGTTGAGATCTAATCATAGGCATGACTCCAGATGTTGCGATGTGAGGCTTTGCAGTGGTATAAGTCACTTTTGAGGTACCTGTGCCTTAAAATTCTGACCCTCTAAGCCTTTAGATGAGTGTGTTAGGGCTTAGCTCTAACACTGATGTCTTAGTTAGGATTTCTGTTGCTGTAAAGAGACACCATGACCATGGCAACTCTTATAAACTTAACATTTAACTGAGGTTGCTCACTTACAGTTTCAGAGGTTCAATCCATTGTCACCATGACAGAGAGCATGACGGAGTATAGGCAGATATGGATGTGGAGAAATAGTTATGAGTCCTACATCTTGCAGGCAACAGGAAATAGACTGAGACACTGGGCGGTATCCTGAGCATAGGGAACCCCAAAGCCCGCCCTCACAGTGACACACTTCCTCCAACAAGGCCACACCTGCTAATGGCGCCACTCCCTATGAGAATACACTCCAACTACCACAGCTGCTGTTGTGTTTATTTTGTAATTGATTAAGACGCAACATGAATTTTAAAACTGTGTTTATTATCTGAGAAGTCCTTATTATTACTCTTTTTGCGGTTTTCGGACTAACAATATTTTATTGGAAGTACAAAGCTACTGAGCCAGGTTTGCACACAAAGCAAGCTGGCTGTGGTCGTGCAGAATTGGAGAGCACTGGGTTTAGTTGAGAGACCATGTCTCAATGAATAAGTGGAGAGCAATCATGGAAGACTCTTGACATCGAATTCTGGCCTCCATACACTTGTGCACACACATACACAGGTGTGTGCATGCCATATACATACATACATATAGCATAAATGACAAAAATTAAAAATAAATGTTAGGAAAAATTAAAAGTTCTGCATTGCAATGAATTCAAGAATATTCAGGGATACATAAAGAGATGCTGTTTTAAAACAAATAAAAAAAGAGAGAGAAAAAGGGAGAGAGAGAGAGAGAGAGAGAGAGAGAGAGAGAGAGAGAGAGAG